TTCGTTCAACTTCAAGTTATCTAACGATAGTATTTGAAGAACACTTCCATACCTAATTTTTTTTCAATTTCTTTTATAGAAGCATGAATTAAAATTAAATTCATGACCAAAAGTATAAAAGTCTATGGTTTTGGTAACAATTTTATCAATTTTTCAATTCCCTTATCAGAATGAATATTATAATATATAATATAATATAATTTATGATCCACTGTACACCGTCAATCTGGAGTTACCACATTTATGGTAACAAAAATATTTTTTTTTTTTTTTTTTAAATTGGTAACATGTAATAACTTAAGATATTTTAATAATCACATTAATATATTTGAAATTGAACAAATATTATTTTAGTAAATTGTAATTAATTTTCATTGTATAAAAATATAATATTTATAGCATTAATAATTCAACAATATTAAATTTATAGATTTATTAATAGATATCATAGCAAGTGTTCTCAATCTGGGAGGCATGGCAAAATCTCAGGAGAGATATGAATATCTTTAAAAAACCCATGAAATATATACACACACATAGTGGTGGGAGATGTGTCTCATGTAATAGTTTAAAAGGAGGCACTGATCCTAAAAGGTTGAGAACTCTTGTTTTAAAGGATATTGCTTATAAACTTGTACAATATTTCAAATGTATTTTTACTTAAACAATGTAATAAGAAATAATAAAAATATTTTATAATTTGTAAATAAAGCTTGGTGTGTTTAATACATCAAACCTTTATAAAAACAAATACGGTTTGCATCATAAATTATTCTATTTTATTGCCTATAATTCTTTTCTCCAAAATTGAATGTTTCATATTGCTAAAATATAATCAAAGTACCATTTTAAAATAAAGTATCAACATAAGTCATTATTAATACTACTAGTTCAGTAACACCACAGATTATCAATATCTGTTTTCAGACAAGAAATAATGGAAACAGATTGTTATAAGAAAATAATCTGAAGTTTATAGTAAATAATAAAGTATAAAAAAAAAATAATAACAATTGAATGCATTTATCAATTTTATTTATAAGTATAGAAGTATAATAATACATTTTTAAATAAAAATATACAAATTATTAAATATTGAACATATATGTTTGCTACTGATTCTTTGGCTAAGACTATTACCTACAAAGAAACATACAATAATTTATTGTGCTTACATACAATACATTTACAGAGCAATTATCTCTAACAAAAATATATTTTTTTCAAATAAACAGTTATTAAAGAGTAAATACTCAAACATATTATTGAAAACTAATATTAATAGTGTATTCTACAATAAATTTTAATCTTAAGAAAAGTGTATATAAATGCTTAAAATCAGTAAAAATTTACATAACAATGGGATTCTTTATACTTATAATTAGGTATGCATCTTAAAGAGATTATAAATTTCAGAATATTTTAAATTGTATAAGTGAGATTAAATTTAAAATTTCTATTATTAAATCTCTAAAATGAGTTGTGGGGAGATTTCCTTAGTAATGTACCATGTTAAATATGAAAAATTTCAAGTATGTAAGAAAGTTAAATACTAAAAAGTTTCTTGACATAAACTAAGCAAAAAGAATAAAATAGTTTAAATATTTTTGGAATCAGTAAAAAGTAAATTAAAAAATACAAATAAAATTTAAACACAAATCTTAAGTTATTAATAAAAAATTTTCTTTTGTTCCTATATTATATAAATAATTGCATTTAACATATTTAAATATATGCTTTAGTTGAAATGTCTATTAGTCAAAGGGAATCATTTTTAAATTACAATAGGAACTCTAATAAAGAAAAATAAAGTCATTTTAAATGCACGGTCTTTAAAATGTTATGTTGCAAACAGTAAAATAATTAAATTTTAATTTTCAATTCATCACAGTAAAGAACACAACAAACAAATTAAACAACTTTTTTAGAATTTAAATCTGAATATTTTAAAAATACATAATTTAGAAATACTTATAATTTTATTAATTATTTTAAATTATACAAAGCATAATTTTTAATATGTTTTGGTTTAAGTTTGTTTATTTATAATTAATATGTGTGCCCATTCCATACCAATATTAAAATATAACCTCAATATATGTATAATACATAAATTTTTCATCTATAAAAACAGTTTCCAACCCAATGCATGTGCTTGGTAGTTAATCAGTAGGAGTTAGGCTGAATTAACTGTGTCAAAAGAACAAAGTAATATATTATTAACATTGAATATTATGGTTTTACACATAGTTAACTTATTGGTGAAAAATTGATTGTTTAAGGGTTAAGAGTTTTGAAATCCCATCAGTTATAATCTGCTAATCTATTAAATTGTCTTACAATATGTGTTTCCATATTAACTTGATTAAATTCCAAGTAAAATTTAAATTTGGATACAAAATTTAAAATAGTGGGCAAAACATATATTTATCTAAAATCAATGCAATTGAAAAAAAAAAGATTAAATATGACCAGATATGTGAAAATGTGAATACGTCAAAAATGTTTTCATGAGTAAGCTAAACATTCTGCAAAGCATTTTCCTCAGCCATAAAATATAATTGTAAACCAAAGTAATTAATTCATGTTATATAATTATTATAATAATTTTTTATAATGTTATTTTGCTACAAATATTTGAATCTTAACATTCTAATCAGTCATAACAATTTATAGATGATAACACAATATCTAACCGAGTGTACAAGCTTGAAATAAATTTTAAAAACTGATTGGTACATCCTTAACAGAATAAGCGCTACGTAGGGCCTACTGACCCTACACACTACTTGCCAAAATGTTTCTTTTGGCAACCGTACATGGCAAGAAAAACCAGTTGCTGCACAATTTAGTTGAGTACAAGTACTCATAGGCTTAAAAACCCTATATGCCGCTCTTTACAAGTCACACACTGTCAGGTGAATAAGCCCTACGTGCATAATTATTTCATAACTATTCATAATTACATCTTTTGTATTGACACTTAATCTGTTAATACAGAAAGTTCTCATTTAATATTGCCTCATTTAGCATTGTTTCACTGTTGCGTTGTAGAAGCTTAAGTCCTTATATTTTGTTTAATAATGCAACGGTTTCAGTATAACGCCTTTTGTAATACATGTGTTCATCAAATTGTTGTTATATCTATGTATTATATATATTTTATATAAGTTGTAAATGTAATTTAATATTGTCGACCTTTTTCAGATAACACTGTTTTGATTGACATCCCTAACATACATAGGTACTATTTTTATTTATTTTAAGTAATATATACTATGTAATCGTTTTTCATTTTATTGAAAATCAGTTGTTCAAAGACACTTTTGCTATCGACTATACAGATTTTGTGTACATCTCTATTACTATTACGTATTATTTTACTGTTACATATTTGTTAATTAAATGCATAAATTGTATACAAAAAGTGTTTCACTTCAGGGTATTTTTTGTTTAATGTTGTGTTTTCCAGAAACCTAACCTTGATATTAAACAAGAACTTACTGTAACACTAATTTTATAAAAAAAAAGTGAGAATATTTCAGATTTGCTCATCGCTATGAGAGACATACTGTTGCCGTATTATATTTATGAAAACTTACAATTCAAAAATAACTTAAGTATTTTAATTATATGCCATAATATAGTAGGTGCACCATTTTAAATAAGAATACAATTCAATAATTAATTATCTAAAATTAATCCCTGATAATGATTAAGTACAGAAAAGTATACCTACATTTAAAAAGCAAACTATCTTTTATAAATAATTGTATAGAACAATTATTTTAACTCAAATTATGACATAAATACTAAAAAAATAAACAAAATTATTTTATACTTGTAATTATGAGAGATAATATTAGCATTTAATAATATATATTATCCGTATTATCATTAGTCATCAATAGTATGCCCAGGAATTTTTTGTAGGAGATGATGTAACAAATAAAAATCGTGAAAAAAGAGTAAAATTGTCTTCGCTACTCAACTCAATCATGGGAATTGGTAATTTAAAAGCCGGATCCTAAAAAAAACCAATTTCTAATCAATAAATCAAGCTTTTTTTTTGTTAATCAGAAATCAACGGAAATTGACGAGTTTTGATATTAGATTACTCATATTCTCCCCTCCCTGGGTACGCCACTGTTAATCATATATATCTGTCCATATAACTAAATATATTTAAGACATTAATATTAGATTTTTATTGTCAATAAGTAAAATTTAATTCAATACTTAGGTTTATGTCATGGTTTTTTTCACATAAAATATTATCCTTTGAAGTATCTTATTCTCTCCAGATTCCAGACATTCAAAGCCAAAAAAACTTGTATCTCTTTGCCCTTACATAAAAAGTACATAGATTGTAAAACTAAAATAGGAGAAGGAAGGAATTATAATAATCATTATTAAAAATATGAGAGAGTAATTTGTTGGCTATAATAATAAATAATGCACCTACAAATAAATATTGATTATAATTAAATAACTTGTAAATGGTTTCAATTAGGCCTTTCAAAATATAACACTTAAAACAGGTCTTTCATCATTTATTTACATTCACTAATATTTTGTAGAACTTTTTTTCAAATAAAACTAGTGACTAGATATAACAAATTTACCCAAATCTTGAAAATAGTATTTATATTTAAGTTCTAAGAATAATAGAAAGTTTATATTAATTATTATTAGCATAAAATAGTATCTATATAAAAATTCCATAATTTTTTTTTTAGCAATTAGTCAAATAAAATTAACCACTTTTATAAACACAACCTATATGTGTACTTTTTAAAATTATAATACCTATGTTAATTTGATGGTCATTGGCAATAAATGACTAGAACAGCGCAAAGAATATTTTCAGTTAATGAATTATTAGTAGTTAGAAAGTTAATTGGTATTAACTGGAATTTCAACCAAATTTACAGTGATACTCACTCAATCTTAATACCCATATAGATTTACTCATACCAATCAATAAGACATAATGTTTATTATGGTCGATCATCATCAGAGATTGAATCTTCCTTTAAACTAGTTTCTTTAAACCATTCTTCTCTATGCTTATCTTTCTTGTTACTAACATGAGACCTAAATAATTTGTTATGATTAATTGTTTATCAAAAAATAGTTGTTAATTATAAAATAAGTAACACAATAAAATACCTCCGTAGCCATCCATCACCAGGTAAAGTCATTGATGAGCGAGGTTCAATGACATCCACTGCGTGTTCATGAGTTAGTTGTGGTCGTCGTTCTAGTGTCATTGTTTCTGGACCAGGGAAACTATCATCATATCCTTCAGCAAGTTCTTGATCATGTTTACAATTTTCACATTCTTCTCGGAAATCATCATTAATGACTGTGGTTATTTTATTATTACATTGATGTTCATTATTTTTTTGATCTAAAACAAAAGGTCTAATCAGGTTTATCAAGAGATAAGGAATAGAACAATTTAATACAATAATATATTGTTATTATTATTGTTTATTTAACACCATGAATATTATGGCGAGATGGATGTGACAATGATTGATGGTTATCTGAATGGACATGTCGGTAATGAAAAGATAGAGTATGTGAGGGTATATAGAAAATATAGTTTTAGAGCGAGAAAAAACCCTAAATTTTGCATTAGCATATTATGACCTTGTAGTTATTAACACGTATTTATAAAAAAGAGAAGAGCATTATACAACTTTTATAAGTAAAAAGAATAGATCGCAAATTTATTATTTTGTGTTGAAGAGAGAAATTGTTAAATAACTAAAGGATTGTAAAGTAATCCGGGGTGAGGGTGTAACAATTTAGTGTATGGTAATGGAATTAACACAATATAGGTTCATACAATTTTGATGTAGTAAGAAGAGAGTTCACAAAAATAAAAATAACAGAGGAAGAAAGGAGTTAAAAATTTTGTAGTGGAAATTAATAAGACAAAGAAAAAGTTAAAAAAATTAAAGAAATGGTCGTGTGGAAATAGCCATGGGATGGCCATTTATATTAAAATTATTGTAAATAAAATAAATGGTGAGAGTAGGAGTAGTATGCCAAAAAGCAACGAACTTAATGATAGGATGAGGAATTTTAGAGAATTATAGCAAATAAGAAGAAAGAATTTACATCATGATAGAAGAACAAGAAAAGAGAAGATTGCATAGAGTACAAAATATTTTGTAAGGAAATTATAAAGGTAGTAAACAAAGTAAAGTTATATAGATATGATAGACTAGGAGAAAAGCATCGGGTGTTTTATGTAACAAGAAAATTCCAATGAGATTTAAAAGTAAGTTCTACATGAATGTAGAAAGACTGACCCTGTTGTATAGTTCGGAGTATAGGTTGGGAAGGCAAAAAAATAAAACAAAGAATAAGTGTAAAAGAGAGTACTGAGGCGGATGAGTGGAATGACGAGAGGATAAGGAACAAGCACATAAGAGGTTTGATTTCATGGTAGATAAATAAGATAAAATAAACTGAAATTGTTTAAGCGTGTCATGAGGAGAGAAGAATTGGAAACAGTTAGAATAGCAATGAAAATAGTTGGAAAGAAGAGAAAGAAAGACCGAAAGAAGTAGTTAGATATAATTAAAAATGATATGTGAAATGAAAGCGAAAGAGAAAAGGATGAAATAATATATTAAAAGAAAACGGTAAAGTTACCATTTTCTAATAATGTCTGATTGGTGGTAGTTTGTTCAGTTTCAGGATCACAGGTATGTAGCTGCAAATTTTGTTCAATTTCAGTCATAGTCACTGGTATAGTTCTATGTGTTGTAACTTCATCTACTAGTCTATTAAACTGTTGAGGTATTTGGTGAGGTAATGCTATGGCTTCATCATATGGAGGAGGAGCGTCATTGCGTGGATAGTAAGTTTTCCATAAGGGTATATGAAGTGTTGCATGATCACCATAATATAAATCAGTATTTATGGGTCTTGGGAAATTCATATATCCACTGATAAATCCAATTCCTCTTACACCCTCCCCTATTTGAGGTGAATTTGAATCAGTGAACACTTCTCCATCTATAACAAATATTATATTTTAAAATATATTATAACACTGTTATTCTTTAAAATAGTTGAAGTACATAAATATATATTGAAGTTTCATCTCAAACATATACTAAACAATAATGATTCACTCTTAAGAAAACTATAATAATTGGGAAAAATCAAAGAAGACAAAAAATACAATTTTTTAAAATTTCAGCATAATTTCACTTTTTCAATTTTTACGGTTTATATTTTTACCATAAATATTGCTCCAATAGAAAAATAAAATGAATCTTTTTTGTTGAATTTTTAATCTAATTGATGATCAAGGAAGCAATAGAAATATATTTGACTTATTATATTAATTATAAAATTATACCATTTATAAAAATATATTCTACTTTTGAAAAATATTTTTTTTTAAAAGAGCTAAAATGACAAAGATCATAAATACTATGGCCTATCAAAACATGTACAACCGAACTTTGTTTCGAATCGTTTTATGTTAGCAATGGTTTATCATTGGTTACAGGTATAAATTAAATAACTTCATATATCTCACCATTCCAACAAAACTGTAAACTGTAATTTACAATTAATAGAAAAAAAAATTATTATTAATATTAATAGTCATTGTATCACACAATCATATATATATATGTACACACAGGATGATTAATTAAGCATACTTACCCCATTTGTATAGTTAAATTTTGCATATATTCAAATTCTAATTTTAGACATTTTTATTAAGTGTAATTAAAACTGTTATTTTGGAATACTTAGATTTCTCACAGCATTTAAGTTGTCTCCTGTAGCAACTTTGGTTTATCAAATTAGAACCTACATTAAATAATAGTTTAAATAAAATTTGGTGTTAAAATTTCCCGTCAACCCATTGATAAGTTATTCAAATTTAAATTTTAGTTTGGGTAAAGTAGTGAAATTCAATTTGTATAGTGGAATGAAGTGTGGCATTTTAATAATGCTCCACTTCTCTCCCACTACCAAAAATTAAAATTGGAATAATTCATCAATGGGTTTAAGGAAATCAAAAATGTTAATAATACCAAAATTTTGATTGTTACAGGATACTTCTTAAATGTTATAAAAAATCTAAATTTTCCAAAATATTGGTCTCAACTACACTTTAAAATTCTAAAAATCAGAATTTGAATAAATACAAAATTTAACCGAAAAAATGAGGTAACCACGCTAAGTGAATTATCATGTATATATGTAATCAATGTGTAGGATAAGTTTTTTTAACCAATTAATAACTGTTAAACACTTGAACAAAATGGGAAAAATATAAACTATAACTTTTTTTTTTTTATTGAACTATTACATTTTACAAATTAAACATATTATCCAACTTCCTATGAAGAGTTACATAAAGTATGCCATACATCAGGATAATAAATTAAATTTGTATATGATAATTAAACTGTGAGTAGTATAAGTATAAAGAAAAAACAATATTATGGAAATACATTTTTATAATACAATTTTGGATACACAAATAATTGTTCATTAATTGAAATTCAAATGTACTAACAAATTAAAAATGTAAACTATTTCAGTTTTCTAACTCAGTAATGCAAATAAGTTAATATTTTAATGGTGTAAACAAAACAATTCTTACTTGACATAATATTTCTTCTATGTAATCGGTTGATGAGAAAGACAATTAGTATAAAAAAAAAAAATGCTGTTATAGTAGTAGCAATTGATCTAGCATTGATATTATCGCCTTTATAATCTATTTGATCATTATCATTAAGAGATTCATCCAAACAGTTAAATTCACAGCATGTACTTCCAACAGTAAATGACTTACAATCCTAAAAATAATTACAAATTGTATAATTACTTATTTTTAACTTATTGATTAGTTATATAATTAAATAATTAATATTTAAAATACAATACTGATCTATATATTATAATAGTAATGTAGCTTTGGTATTCAATGATATTTAATTCTCTATCACAAAAAACATAGGAATTTAGTAGTAGTAGTAAGGAGTACTGTAATTAACACTAATTTAAATTTGTTATGATTTATTTATGTTTTGTTGTTATTTAAGATTAGTTTTTTAAACATTATTAATTCATCTCCATAAAATCTAACGAAAACAAATAGAAAATATTTTATTTAAAAATTACCATTAGTCTGACATTTTAAACTTCAGGAAAACCATCAAAATAGTTTACCTTAAATAGACTAAAATAAATTAAAATCTCAAAATCCATGTAATATCATTAAAATAATAATCTGTGCATAGAAAAATATAGGTCTATATGTACATTGTTGTACGTAACAACTCAAATCATTTTTTTAGATACTTAATAATTTCTTACAAATCAATTTTAGGCAATTTAATAAGAATTACCTATTTATACAACTAAATAATTAGTCTAACCTTAGTCCAATTAATTACTAATTTAATTAATTTAATTAAGTTTACCTGTGGTGGAGAACATAATACTGCTTTACACCACTTGGCTACAGAGTTGTCACATACACATAGAGTACAAGTGTCTGGACCTGGAATATAATGCATTCCTTCCTTGACAGACCTGCCATTATTGTCCTGGCATACAGCCTCAACATAGCCTAAAACAAAAAAATAACACGAATAGATAACTGAAAAATAACTCACTAAAATTTAAATGAATATTATAAGAATAATAATCCCTTAAAAATAACTATAGTATACTGTATACCTACCAAAATAAATTATTAGCCTTTTTATATTTACCTAAACATAGGTAATTTTAATACTCAATTAAACATATTTTAATTTAATAATAAGATTACTATCTTATTAGTAAGATAGTTTCGTATTTTTATATAATTTATACATATATATATTTATATCTGTTATTTATTAATTATTCCTATATTTAACATTTTACTTAATATGTCATATATATATATCATTTTACCGTTTTTAATTGAAAATTTAAAACAATAAATTTCCTCACCAACAATAAATAGTAAAATGATTACGAGTTCATGATTAGGAATATGCATTTTTAATTGTTAAATATGTACTTGTACATTCATATAATAAGAAACATAATCTTTTATAAACATTAACTACCTAATAACGTTTTTGACCTTTGATACTATATTTTTTAAATATTTTTTGAATTTAATCAATTGTTATATTTATATCAATTATAATATTTATTAATATTGTTAATTATAATTTGTTAATCAGAAAACTGGTATTTAATACTCATTACTATTATCATTTAGTGATTATTATTCAGAAAAACACATACAAATATAGTTTAACATTCTTACCTGGAGAATAACTGCAGAGTATTGCAATAAATAAAATTAAATAAATTATCATACTTGTAGAATAACACTAAAGCAGGTAAATTGACATTTCCAAACAATTTTTATAAAGTAACAGGAAAACATGTAATAAAAAATATTTATTTATTAATATAACAATTTTTAACTGAAATTTTTAAATTTTTAATGCCAATATTATGAAAAGTAGTATTTTACTATAATATAATACATTATTTATTATTTAATGTTTATCCCTGGTTTATCATTAACTGTCCCTTATCTCTATAGAAATGTTACAATCACATTTTCGACCGCGTCCACAACCCTTGTTACGCGATATCGCGAAAGCGGTAAAATATTACGATTTAAAAATAATCTGAACAACGAAAAATGTAATTATAGTAACACAATTATTACAAATTTAAATTTAAATTTTCAAGAACTATATAATATATTAATACATTCAATACAATAATAATATATAGAATTATAATTATAATTTATTACTAGGTACCTACCTATATCTAATCAAATACCTATAGTGAATAAATTGCTATCAAAGTATTTCTCATAGAACCCTTAGGTATTTCAGTATTTAAACCTATATTGTGCCTATACTTGGCTATGAAAACCTATATTCTATAGAAATCCTTATCTTTATTTTCGAAATGGTATTCAGATGCGGCCTGAGCCGAGGTAGGTAATAGTTAACGGAGTTTTTTTCCAGCAATAATTCCTACAAAATACGTGATAAATATTGCCGCGAGAACCACTGCCATCAATGACTAAATTAAATAATATTATTATTAGTTCATGTCCAATGTGTTTAACATTTGATGATACATTATTATTTTTAACTTATTTATAAACAAATTATTTCAATTACCCACTAAGACATTAGTGTATTCTGATTTCTGAATACACACATGCATAGTTACTGTAGGCATGAATATAAATTAAATACATTAATCTATGCTATAGTTAATCACTTATTGATACTCTTGAATCGTGATTATCGCAATAGATCCATTATATTGGTAAATAATAATTATATCCTAAATCGAGGTTAAGAATTTTATTATAAACGTATGTTGTTTTTAAACAAATTAAAATGAAAATATATCATACATTAATTACAAATATTTGTTTTAAATATGTTTATATAATTATTATTTATTTAAAATTTAAATAGGTAATAATCAAAATTTTCGAGAGGATGAAAAACAACAAATTTGACTACATCAATTTTAAATTATATTACCTATCTCTTAGCAAAACAGCAGTGAATGAATCATTAAAATATAAACTATAGATAGATATGCCCAGGTTAAAATTATACAAGTATAAGTTATTACCAATACTTAGCATAGGTTACTACCTAGACTTATTATTATTAAGTAGTACCTACTTACCATAATAATAATTGTCTGCAATCACAAGGGTCGTGTAAGTCAGTTATCTGACCTTATACATTTCAATGCCAAAATGCATGTTAGTAGATACCTACTTAACTATACCAACTTTAATATTTTCAACTGAAGAAAATCTTAAATATACTTTGCACGATGGATGGGCTACTTTTATAGGTGGGAAGTTAGAAGATAGAATAGTTATAGAGGGGAATTTAGTGTTTATCTGTTCGTAACGATTAACAATTGTTAATGAAAAATGATTCTCAACGGAGTAGGGTTATAGATGTTTAAAAGTCGTAACATCTACGATTTTCGTCAGAATTTGTAATTAAAATCCTAATAAAAAAAATGTCTGCATTACACTCAATTTTTATTTTTTTGACCACAAAGAACGACCCAGAATAAACCTCCTGTTCGATTGTCAAGCATTTCTGTTTGGCCTAACAATTTTATCCGCATAGTGTCTATCGAATAAAAATTACGTAAATGTGTATAAATAGTTCAAAACTAGCATATATATTTTAAAAATTTTACAACGTCTAGAAAAGGAAAATATCTATAATATTTAGGTCAAAATTTCAAATCTCTATGAATATTTTTAATTGAATCACAAAAAAAATAAAATTGAAACTATTACACTTTGTGAATTTTCCCGATTTCCTATGTTTTTGCCCGGTTTTTCCCAGCTATTACGAAAACCGTTTGGACAATCAAAAAATTACTTCCTTAAAGTGTCACCAGGGGCCAGGGGGGGGGGTTTGGGAGGTCAGCTGACCAACAGATTTTTTCTCGGTAAAATGTGGCCCCTCGAAATGACAAACTACGTAAATATATACAATACTACAATAATCAAAATAGAAATAATAATAAATTATAATATGGGTGATTATAAGTAATTTATAAAATTTACACAGGCTCAAGAAAATTTCTAGGAAAATATAATTATAAATTTATAAATATCATGATGTATTGAAAGACGCGAAGACTGGGTATTGAAGTGTAAATAGCGCGTACGAAATCGTACGGCCAGCGCGTATCGACAAATAATTTACCTAAATGGAAAAACATGCGTACCGTACGCGCGGCTGCCTCTTCAAAACACGCACCGATAGTCGATAATGTTGTTTACGTAAATATATTTATCACATATTAAGTAAAAATCCCTTTTCTATTTATAGATATTCTTATCGTATTATTAGTGGAATCTACGATTGTTTTTATATTATTATCCAATATCCATAATAAATATACGAGCCGTGGTCATTGGTCGTTATTGATGTATTACACATATTATGTATACATGTATAGTATGTTATATATAACTATTTCACTATTCTTTGTATTATACCATATTGTCAAAGCGTATTTCATATACTCTTCCAGTCGGCAGTGCAACTGCAGAAAGAAGTTTTAACAGGCTTAAATTTCTCAAGACATACCTTTGCTCAACTATGACCGGCTATCAAATTCGGCAATATTACGCATAGAAAGCAATATAGCTCAAACAATACATTTTAATAAAGTAATAAGTACATTTGCATCAATGAAAAAACGTAGAAAATTATTGTAATACTATATTTACTTTTATTTTTTATTTTTTATACATTATAATAAAAATATAACTTTATGAATGAATTATTTTTGTATTCGATTAGAATTTATAACTACATTTTACTGTGAAAATGAAAGCAGTTATTGAAAACTAAGATAAAATAAATATACTGCAACTATATGTATACAAATATAATAATAAATATGTTTAATCTCTTCTCAAAATCTAAAATACTCAAAATTATTTAAATATTTCAGGTAAGTTTATTAAGTGAATATCAATTTGAATGCAACAAATAAAAAAATAATTAAATTTGAATTAATTGACAATACCAAAGTTTGTAAGTAAGTTTTAAATTTTACTAAAAATTAGTTGACTTATGGCGAGGCAGACCTACAGTACTAAAATCCTAGGTTCGCCACTGAGTATCATCCAGATAAAGTTTCCTTTCAGAAAAAGTACTACACTTGAAAATCGGAGCCAAATATCTGGTAGAAAGTTGTTCACAGACAAAAAAATAAATAAAAACTAAAAACACGTCCTAGGATAATGGGGTGGGTGCAGCCACTATTATAGGTAATTTAATGTATATCTGTAAGCAATGATAAATCATTGCTCACGAAAAAACGATTCTGAGTGCAGTTCAGCTAATAGTGATGCGTTGTCAACAATATATGTCATTTTATGGTAAAAAAAAAATATTTAAATAGGCTTTATGTATTTTCTTTAATAATATTTGTTTAATGTTGTACCAATTTTCCCAGTTTTCCTATGTTTTTCCTTGTTTTATCCCACTTTTTCACATTTGCTGGAAAACTCATAGGAAAATCGAAAAATGACGTTTCTAAAGTACCTTGCTAGAGGAATTTCCTTTTTAAAAACTTTGCTACTATTAAAAGTTAGAGCAAAATTGCTGGTAGAAAAGTTGTACATAGAAAAAAAAAGACCATAATATCTTTTAACTGATGCCTAGGTACATTTTGTACATTTTCAGTTTTTTCGATTTTAAAACGCATCTTCAGCAACTCAAGAGTTACAAATTTCCTAACACAACGCGTATTTAATGTTTAATTTTTAATTAACTCGTGTTTTACAAGTCATAATAATAATAACTTCTACTACGCAAGTCCATACACTACTAACAGTATAAACAAAATAATAGTTAAACCATCAGAGCATATTTCAAATTACAAAACAGATGTCAAATGTAATTGTAAAACACATGGGTAGGTACCTATCTAATATTATATACCATATACAGAGTGATCAATATAACGTTTAAGATACTAATTTTCTCGAAAAGTATCAACTTTTTTCGGAATTTGTTATTTAGAAGACTTGAGAAATAAGTAACTCTAAAATATGTCCTTACTCTTGTCGGTGTCTCTTATTTCCGAGGGTTAAATCGCTACCTATTTTTGTTTTTTAAATGGCAACCTAAATTAAAAATTCCATACATAGATGGAGCATTGGTTAAAATCAATTTTGGTTATGTGATTTTTAATTTCCATCAACCCATTGGAGAGATATTCCAATTTAAGACATGGCGAGGGAAGAGTAGTGGTGCATCATTTTTGTGATGGGACGGCACTTGGTGTTGTAATAGTGTTACGCCACTCTTTCTTGTCTAAACTTAAAAGCGTAATAGGTTATCTTTTGAAAAATCAAAAGTATGTAATTGTTTCACTCCTTAGAAAATAACCGTATCTAATGTAATATTTTAGAGCATTTCTTAAATGTTCTAAAAAACAAATTGCGAAAAAAGTTAATGCTTTCTGAAACGACGAGTGTCTTACGTTATAAGTCCGTTGATCATTAATCTATTTAAGACAACATTGTTATCAGTGTTATTAAGGAGACCGCGGCATGGGCGATTCTGAGGGAAAAGATTTAGGCAGATTTATGTGGCGGTATGTACCCAAACTGCGGTAAAATTTCCCTTTTTCTAAAAGTCGATATGTAAAATTGCGACAAAAACAAATTTAACATTAGATAAACTGCTCGCGCTGCTATAATTAGCAGGGCAATGTGAACACTCACTGCCGTCGACGCTGTCACAGAAGTATTTTGAGGAGTAAATACGGCAGCGCGTGTAGCAATTGCCGGATTGATCGCATTGCCGGTTATGTTGCTGCTCGCGCTGCTCAGTTTACCGCTGTTGACGGGAGCGTCGGGCAGCATCAGTGCGAGGAGCACGATCAGCGCGAGTGACGTGTTTACATACTCGCGCTGCCCATTTTTATGCTCACTTCCCTGCTCACTGCCACGGGGGTGGGCTGAATGTAAACTGGGTATATAATTAGCAGGGCAATGTAAACACTCGCCGCCGTCGACGCTGTCACAGAAGTATTTTGACGAGTAAATACGGCAGCGCGTGTAGCAATGGCAGCGGCTGAATGTAAACTAGGTATATGCTCTACGGTAGGGCGTAGACATTTTTATTTTATTTTTTTTTTTTGGTGCGCACATAATCAACGGGAGTTTCTTAAATTATAGGCGTAAAAATAAAAAATTAAAAAATTTTAAAATTATGAAATAGAAAATTTTAATATTTTAATACTAGTCAAATACTTAATGTTTTTTCTACGAAAAGTAAAATAAAAACGAGGTTGTTATAAAATTGTATGTGCAACGACACGGAACACCATAAACCCTAATAATAATACGTGCGTCGCACATGTTACACAGATAGCTTACGAACGTTATGTCGTTCATCGATCATCTTATAACTACAATCAGTACATAAAATAAATTACCGCAGTTTGAATAATGTTAAATATTTTGCACTTGCCGCAGTTTACATATCGACTTTTAGAAAAGGGGACATTTTGCCGCCGTGTACCATCTCCCACTTGTGTGACGGGTACACACGGGTCACGTCGATATGTGAAAAGTAAAGGAACATTGTTGCAAGTGCGGTTTAATACATCTACCAGTAGTACCACCACTTCCTAGACCCTACGTGGGCAGCCAGTACACACAAAGTTTTTTAATCTTTTTTCTAATTATTGTTTAATTTAATAAACAAATCGTAATTTATCAATAGAATTAATAATAGCATCATTAATGTGTTATCATCTAATGTTCATAGTTTTGTTTGATCTGCGGTATTATTTCGTACGATTATTATCGTAATTGGCGTTATATGTGTGTTTTCATGCATGTTATTATGTTCGCATCGTCCGTCCATCGAGTAACACCATGCACGTCACCCCCCGTCGGTCTCGTTGCTCGCACGAGCGCGCGACTACTAATTTTTTACTTACTCTCCACGACACTAACCGACGACGCATGTGCGTGTTTCGTTTTTTGTTGATTTGCATTACTTATTATCAGGGCGGAGGACTTGTGGCGTTTGCATAGCTTTTTTTTTCGCATGGTCACAATAATAGCAGAGTGCGAAACAAACACGTTTCAAGCTTCAGCGAAGTTAGTTTCGAAATTTTATCTCGCGCAAATAAATGCACATTTTGCGCTTTTTTGGTTTTTAGAGCATACTTGTTCCATTTTATACTTATGGATGCAATTTTTTTTAACAAATTATCATTTTTTTATCGACGTTTTTACTTATTTATTCATTTATACAAGCAAAATAACGTTGAATTTAAAATTATTTTAAATTTTGATCATAATACGAATATGGTTGTTGACTATTCCCAGACGCGTGTTTTTCCTAGAAACACGTCTTGAGAGTTGCCGATTAGATTGATTGCCGGGTTATTCATTTTATTTATAGATAGATAAGATAATATTGTTCAACGCACAAAATATTATCGTTACGGGCCACGGGGGCGGGCGGTTTTGTATATTTTAAATATGCTCCTATAAATTCCGTTGATGTTGAACGCTCTTTTTCAATGTTCAAAGTGCTGTTAGCTGACAATAGAAAAAGTTTTCGGTTTAAAAATTTGAAAAAAAACGTCTTTTCGTTCAATGTAACTTACAAGGTAAAAATTTGTGTTAAACTTAAATATTTGAAACTAAAATATTTTGTCAATTGTTTCTTAGTAGTTGAAGAAGTTGAAAGTTTTGAAGAAGTATCCAGATAAGAAAACCCATAAAATAAACCCAAATAATTCAAGTTATTAATTGTAACTTGTACGCTGTTAAATAAAGTTGTAAATAAAATTTGTCCATTAAAAACATAGGTACCTATAGAAAAATTCTTATTTTTTGTACAAAAATATTAATTTTAAAATGCATATTTTATATATTTAAGTGCATATTCGGTGATTTTTTAGAGCTACAATTCCTCTGCCCTAAGTTATTAATTATTCTAATAAGTACCTATTTCTAATCTTTCTGTGAGATTTTATAAACATTTTTCGTCAGTATGAGTGAATGTATCGAAAAGGAAAGGTGGTTGTTTTTTGAACAGAGTCATATATGTTTTTTGCTTAATAAAACAATTTTTCAAAATAGTTTACCTAAGTTAAGACAATCGATTATAAAGTGTGGAGTATGAAGAATTTCAGGTGAAATGCTAGACTTATGGAAAGGTCTAAATATAAAATTGGGGATGGACCTAATTTATGGGAAGAGCCTATTAACATATTGGCATTTTTACAAAAATATATGTATTCACACAATAAATTTGTTATTTTATGATAGTAAAAAAATGTTTGTGGTTGAAACTTGAAAATTGCATGGATATAACTCAACATCATTTACAACCTCGCGGCAGTTTATTTACTATTTTCCCAATACGGCCCTGGTTAAAATTTAAACAATAGGTATTATACACGTTGGAAAACTTATAATTATATTGATATTAGGATCGATTATTTATTGTTAACTTGACATCATTTTTGTGTCAGAAAACATGTTAATATTGGAATTCGGAACAGTATTTCCTGTAGCTTACCAAACCGAAAACAAATCGATAATGAAACCGTCATTGTTGGTTTTTGCGGTTTTTCCCGATTATTAAAACTACCTTGGAAAATCGAAAAATGACCTTCTCGATGCATCAAGTAGATCCAAAACGCAACGAAAAAGGTCCATTGCCGTCATTTTTTCTTTCTCTCCGATCACAGTAACGTTTCCGAACGGAAAATAACAAGCGAGCGCGCGCGATAACGTCGGGAAAAAAAAATCGAGCGCAATGCGGACGGCATTTTTTTCTCTCTCGTAAGCGTTTCGACTTCAGACGACCTGTTGCGACGGCGGCGTGCGTCTTTGTAGGCGGAGTACCACCACGGCGATGGGTTTTCGTATGAACTCTGACGGGCGTGTGGCGCGACATTGACGACCCGTATTGTTATGCCGTGATCGGGTACACGTAACGGTTTATAAATAACCGGACATAGTTACCCATTTATTTCAATAGCCCCGCGTTTATAATTATTACGATTTATTACGGACGGTCCACCGCGACACGGCGCCGCCGGTCGTGCCCGAACGTCAAAGTCCATCCGTTTGCGGTCATTATCGCGTCTCGCGGTAAACAGAGGAAAAAAAAAAAAAAAAAAAACGTGCGCGAAGGTATACGTCACACCACTATTTCTTCGGTCGACAGTAATCCGATGCGTGTATCGCAATCGAAATAATGAATAATACTTACTACAATTAATAACATTTTTTTTTTTTTTATATTTATATATTTTATTAGTGTTGCTCGGACGTTTATATTGATGCCCGCGTATTCGGCGTTGCACTTAGTACACGCCGAACGCTCGCGTCGGACCGTTCCCGCCGTTCCGCGCATGCCGTTGTAACGCGATATACCCACCGACCTGTGCGTACAGTCTTTTTTTTTTTTTCCTTCTCGTTTGAAAACCGTTTCACTTACACCGTATCGTATTTGTTCGTTCGTTTCGTGTCACAGGCGCGTTTGCTGCGAAACATCGGAAACGCTCCACGCTACAACCCACGCCCGCATACACGTATTGAATCGCGTGCCGCCGCGAAAAATAATATTATGGCCGTGTTGGCCGAGAGCCGAGACAACGTGGTCTCCATATCGGCCGTCGAATCGCTGAAAATGTTGGCGTTTTCCGTGATTTGGGGCACGTGGATTGTGATCAGGAACGCCGTCGTCCGGATGACCGCCCCGCTGTTGCTGAACAGCGGTCGGAGACGCCGCCGGGTCGACAGCACGTCCGCCGTCAAGTCTGCGGCCGACGGAAAAGGCGACAAGCGGCTGGCCGGCCTGGAACTGACGGATCGTCCGCCCAAGTGTCTGTTCACCACGGTATACGGTATCCACTCGTACGTCAAAATCAAGGTGACAAAAATATAATATACAACATGCCTATTCGAGATTTAAATGTACATAGGTATGCATTATATTATGTCCATGCGTACCCACCATGCTTAAAATGTAAACGTATAAATCGGATATTTTTATCTTCGATGTTTATATTTGTATGTTTTAGACAATTTGATTAAATTTGCTAGGAAAAGATTTGTGCGCGTATGACCTTTGGTTGCTGGAAGTTGTTGCCCGCCATTGTAACGTTGCAATATTTTGTCTTATACCTGTTCAAATTTTTAAAAACAAATAAAATTATTTATTTAGGTATTACGACAAATAATATTATTGGTGTATTGTAGATGCTTTATTGGTGCCATTATAACTTATAGTACCATAAATAAGATAAAAATAAAACGCAATACGGTTTGTGTTACTCGAATTGCCAAAATTCGTATGTCACCCAAAAACCCATTCAATTCAAAAGTAAAACAATTTCTGGACAAATATCTTAGTTGTTACTCTAATCGGGACATTAGCTGATCGAATACAATAACTAATGAGTTACAGCACAACAATACTGTTGTGCATTTATGTAATAAATTTAATTATTTGATTTTATTAATAAATAATGAGTAGTGAGTACTAAACTATCTATTCATCGGAATACGTAAATTAATTTTATATCTCAGAATAAGGAAGCACAAAACAGGTATATATATTTTAATGTGCAAAAATATCTTAGGTAGGTATTTATTTGAATGGCCATCATAATCTTTTTCCATTAATCTACTGCCGCAATGCACGATACTCATTTATTAGAGGGAAGGGTTATGGCCGTTTTTACCATACTCTATGGTTTTTACGGATGGAAATTATTTTGTGGGCGTAGAAATTATAAATAACCCGTTATCACAATAATATTGTCCAATCATTTTTTTTCAAATTGATAAACCTCAACATTGTCCAGACCATTTGAACTAGTGGTGCAACCTGGATTTATATTATTCAGGGTGAGGGAGTCAATGGCGTGACCAGAACATGACAACATTTCAATATGTTTCCATGTTTAAAAATAAAAAACACGTTTTAATAAAGTTATATTACTTAAACACTGATTTAGGGGGTTATAAATTTAAAAAAGTTGTGACTGTTCATGGGTAGGCTACTGTTACAGGTGGATAGTTAAAAAGGTATAGCGTATAGGATATAGGTTACTTATGGTATGTTACTCATGTATGTACCTAAATCATTGAAAACGAAAAAATTAATCTCAGTGGGGTAGTACGTAATATAGTATAATAATATTCGTGTTTTTTTCTTTGTTGCAATTTAGGTAACCCAGAAATCAACAAACATCAAACAATAAAAAAAGACAATTGGGGTAAACTACTGGAAATCTTAATAAATGTTTCAAATACTGTAGTACCGAGCAGAAATTCCGCATCTGTTGAGATACTGGGTGAAAACGTTAAAGCATTTGCAAAATGAACAAAAAAATAATCTTAAAAAGGAATTTTTTAGGAAAAAAAAAATTGTAAATTTTGAAACAAAAGTATCATCAAGTGAAAAACAGAGCATTTTTACTAACCATACAAGTATTTTCTTAAAAAACAAAAACAACTTGATTTTTCATTATTTTCTGAATTGATAGAATCTATAAAATTAATTTCAATAGATTAGGTTAATAATATACAAAAAAAAAAAATGCATAACATACGTTGCACTGTGGGTAAACCACTGTTGTGACTTGTAGGGAAATAGTAAAGATAAATCATTGCAATCAAAAAATGATTTTATGTGGAGCTGGGTAATTAAATAACTAAAAATCTGGTAATTATTAATTCTAATTTTTAAGAAATATTGCTATTTGATCTAAGTAATAAATATAAATTATTAGGTATCTATGTAGGATTTGCAAAACAATTTTAAATTTTAGGTGAAGTTATAACATCCTAGTTACACCAATACATTAAATTTTGATTTTTCATTTAATTTCAATTAATGGTAAAAAAAATTTTGTAATAAAAATTTTGACTTCATAATAAGTTAGCTGTCAAAATATCACTATATAATATATGCGCTTATTATTTAATGCAATTTATGGCTGATAACGGTGAGAATTGGTATTTGAATGGTAGGTTTAATAATTAATTACATAAATAAATCAATAAAAATGGATGTGTAATTTTTTTCTGCTAATATCACAGTCATCAAGATTACGGGAAAATTCCGTCACAATGATTGTCCATTTAATTATTTTTTGGACATTTACTGCGCGATATAAAAACATTTATAACTTGTATAAATAATATGAACATCCATATAGAATATTTATGTACCTACCTATAATTTTTAATTTTTTGAAAAATCTAAATTATAAATAAATGTAATTTCTTACCTTCATATTTCAATAATATAAGTTTTACATAAGGGTATTAGTATTTTAAAGATTTTAGGTTAAAACTGCCTAATATGATTTTTACATAATATTATATGAACTTTTTGTTTCACTTTTAAATGTCAAATATAATGTAGATTGTAAAATATTTACAATTTATTATACAGACCTAATAACATTTAATTTTTGAATATAATAGGTACGTATCTAGGTGGTTTTTTTCTGTGTGCCTAACCCCTAACCTGTAATAAATTGGTTTACTAACCAAAATTTGATTTATGCAGTAAGTATAATACACGTATTAAGTGTATAAAATTAAATATTCAGATTTTACTTATTACTGTATAAAAAAAATTAATTTTTTTTTTATTAATTAATTAATTAAATTCAAGTTTTAGCTTTGATGTATAGATCAGAAGTTATTGTTTTTACAGTAAGGTGCTTTTATTTATTTCTTAATTTAACTAAAATATATATAAATGTATTAACCCTGTTATCTGGTTATCAGTTGACTTTCCTGTTTTTTTTCTGTGGGCCTAAACTTCTTGCTCTCATTACTTTTGACTAATCTGGTTTTCCAACAGTTTGATCATAAAATTACAGTACATCAATAATAATAATTGTATGATACCAATATCGCCATTTTATATCAAAACAGTTTATTTCTGGTTTTTTCCTCTGTACCTACCCTTCATATTATATTAAGTGTATATATATATAAAAAAAAAACTATAAAAGAAGTTGATTGATATTAGTTAAAAATACTATAGTCCTTAATGAATATTTAATAATTATAAATTCTATAGAAAAACAAATATATACTTATGTTTTTAGTCATTTTAGTAATTTTATATGTGTATATTATCAACTCTGGTAATTATCATTTATTGTATTGTATAATTTGTTTAAATGTTTAAATTTCAATTACAATACTTATTGCTATTGATTATGATTTTTCATTTAGGGTATTAAATTCCATTATGTTGATTGTGGCGATCCCAAAGGAAGAGTTGTTCTCTTGTTGCATGGATTTCCATCCTGCTGGATTAGTTGGCATCATCAGATACCTACTTTATCAAAACATTTTCGGTAATTTGTTTGAATTATTATCACTATACATTTTTTATAGAATAAGTAATTTTTGATATTTTAAAGTCATATAAACTAAAGCATATAAAATACATTAGAATATTGTTTATTTTATACAATGTACAAAGTGTTTGTATTTTTTAAATATTTTTTTGCACATTTTATGATATAAATTAAACATATTAGTTTTATTTAATAAATACCGTGTTACTTTCTACTAACTTATTAAAAAAAAAAAAAAAAAAAAAACCTTCAGTTATTGAAAGTGTTATAACTTATTTTAATAATTCAAAAAATAAATGTTGCAAGTTGTTTGGTTTAGTCATTTTTAAATAGGTAGATTAATAAAATATTCTATGATGGTACCTAAATAATTTTATTTGATTGTATTTATATATTTAATTATATAGAACATCATATTTCATGATTTACAATAATTATAGTAAAATTCATTGTACTAGGTACCTAATAATTATATACGTGTATTGCAAAATGTTCTTATCATACTTAGCATTGAAATAATTACACATTTAACTTACAATAGGTAGGCAACTATTAAAATTTAAAACATTGTAAACCTATTGGTTATACTAGTGATTATACAGACTATTTTATAATCAATGGTATAAATAATAAGATAAAAGAATTTTCATCCAGAGTATAATTAAAAAATATACCTACTTGCAATTTAGTTACAGGTTAATCAATTTATCAATTCTAAACAAAATATATTTTAATGCTCAACCAATTAAATTAATTAGTAATCAGCTAATAATAATTTTATATAAAGTATAAGTATAGTAGGTAGTATAATTTATTTTGTTTTACTGGTTTAGAAATAAATAAAATAAAAATATTGTCAACTGGCATAGTTTTAAATGAGTCATAATTCATAATATTTTTGTTACGTCTAATGTTTAACTTGTTATTAATTACTAGCTAAAAACATTTTAGTCCTAATATTAAGACTTGCATGTATAACACAAATATTTGTGTTGTTGTATTATTAAACCAATAAAACAATTGTGCGTCGATTTTCAAAAATTAAAATGTCTAATGTAAAATGATTACAGTTTTCTTAATTAAATTAATTAATTAATTAAATATTATGGCCTTTCAAACATGTATAACTGAACTTTGATCAAAATCGTTTTTTTGTTAGCAATTTTTAATCTATGCAAACAAATATACATTAAATCCCCTTGTATATCCTACATTTTCAATATCTCACCTACAACATTGGCTCACCCATTGTGTGAAATATGTCTGTATTTTTTTTTATTAACAAAATTTAAACTTCGAACTTATAGAAGGATGAATCCCGTAGTGGTGTAATAATTCAATATGGTACTTTATCTTGTTAACTTAAGTACAAATATTTGTGAAATATCAATTTATTAATTTAATGTGTTATTAACGTTAATGAACTAATTTAAAAAATAAAGTAGTAAATCAAATGAAATGAATGCACTATTATAAGAAAGTCTGAATAGTAATAATAATATAATATAATTTATGAGCTTTATAATAATTTCTAGTAAACATAAAATTATTAAAAATTACAATTTTTGCTTCATGATTAATTGATTTTGATAATGAATTTCATAATAGGTAATGAGATAATTATAGCAAAAATACTATTATTGTGTGTATTTTAAGTAAAACCCAATGAGTCAATCTTCATTTAAACTTTAAAAATAGTGTACAAAGTTTAAAATTAAAAGTGTAAATATAATTTATGGTTAAAAATTATTATATTTCAGTGTGATTGCTGTGGATCTAAAGGGTTTTGGCGATTCCGATAAACCATCAGCACGTAAAAGTTATCGAGTGGAAAATATAGTCAATGAACTTGCTATGTTTCTATCCTTATTAGGAGTGGATGACCATAATAAATGTCACGTAATCGGTCATGACTTAGGTGCACTATTAGGCTGGTACTTGGTACATTTGTGGCCTAATTGGGTGTCAAAGTTTGTAACCATTTCATGTCCGCACCCAAACGTCCACTGGGAATACTTACCCACATCTAGTTTTTTTAACAAAAAGTAAGTTAATCTGACAAACCTAGAAAAATAATTTGTATGCAGATGAACCCAAAAAATTGAACTCTTTGAACTTTGACTAAAACACATTTCAACTTAATTTTTGTTGGTTTTTATGTCAATTAGTATTGAGTTTTAATAATAAACTTTTTTTTTTATTGAACCAATAAACATTAGCTATTTATATTTATATTAGCTTTAAAGACTATTTGTGTACATTTACAGAAAAAATTAATGAGTGTTAAAATATTGTCATAAAAATTCATTTTCCGAAAAAAAAAAAAAGTATTTAATGATAAATTTGACTGCAATATGAATTTTGGAAGACCCTGCATACATAATTTTTTCAAAAAGGATATATTTTTTACAATAGATAGTAAGTTGTACAAATGACAAAAGAAACATTAGATATTTTTTTGCCAATAAGAGGTACTTAGTAAAAAGTTGTATTAAATTAGTTTTCACATGTAAAGAGAATGTGTTTAATCAGGTTGGTTGGGAAATAAAGACATCAAATAGTTGGAAAATGGTAAGAGAGTTAGTAAAATGTATGTATATAATTAATGTTTTTTGGGGTAAGTCTAGACTCAAGAGTGCTTAAAGCTGTTTCATTATCTGTTCTATAGGTACTCATGTAGGTATTTATTATTTACAATGTTTTAATTTGTTCAGTAATTAATTGTTATCATTACAGTTGGATTTGCTTCAGCCAACTTCCTTATTTACCAGAAATGGATGCTTTACAAAGTGATCTCAAAATAATCAACCAGTGTTATCAGCACTTATCCAAAACTAAGCAAAGTGATGACTTAGATTACATTGACGCATATAAATATACATTTTCAAGAACAGGTAATCTTATGATTGCATAATAATATCTATCATTATTTAATAATTTTGACTAAATAGTTTTACAGCATATTGACTAAAAAATGATAGCATATTTGCGTGGGGTAGTTAGGTAATTTTCATGATATTTCTTTAAACGCTTATTACACACAGTTGACTTATCTTACACACTAAAGGACTGTAGTTACAGCAATCAACATGAAGTAATACCTCAAGTACCACTTGCAACATTTTGATGTAACTTTGCGGTTTACCAGAAATAGGTATAATTATAGCCCTTACAATTATGATAGCGCTTAAAGAAATACCACAAGGATTACTCACCCTAAATAAATACCTTACTTTACCATATTATTTCATTATTTCTTTTCTTTTTCTAGAGGATTGGACAGGTGCTATTAATTATTTTAGAAATTTACCATTCTATCGAATCGAATCTCGGTATAATAGTACAAAATCATTTAATGAAGATGATATGCTTCAGATTCCATGTTTACTCATAACTGGTAGCAAAGACGAAAGCGTACAAATGGAGAGTTTTATCAAGTCCACAGAATTTTTGAAAACATCTACTTTAAGGATAATTGATGATGCTACCCATTTTCCACATCAGGAACAACCTCAAATAGTTAATGATCTATTGACAGCATTTTTAGGTAAGCTTTATAATTTTGTTTCTAATTTACAGTTAATTAAAACATTTTAATTAATTGTATTAAAATAGTAAAAAATTATCCGTTAAAGTGGGTGACTCATTACTCATTACTCACTCATTACTCAGAAAGTATTAACTTTTTTTCGTTATTTGTTTTATAGAATATTTAAAAAACAAGCATCTGTACAATTTTACATTTATGTTATTTTTTGTCACTCTTATTTTCAGTGGTGAACCCACTAAATCTACTTTTGATTTTCAAATGACAACCTATATGGAGTTGGTTTAAATGAATTTTGATGTTGCAAGTTTTAATTTCTGTCAACCTGTTGACAGAATACTCTACTTTTAAGATACACAGGGAGGAGAGTTGTGGTGCATCTTTTTTGGGGCAGCATTAAAAGCAGCAATTTTAATAGTGTTGCGTCACTACTCTCCTACTCAAACTTAAAATTATGATATTGTATTAAAGGATTGACGGAAATCAAAAATGTCAACACCAAAATGTATTTATCTATTTATAAAATTTTAATTATAGGTTGCCATTTGAAAATCAAAAGTAGGTAATAGTTTGTTTTACCCCAAAAAATTAAGGGTAACAAAAAATAACATAAATGTAAAACTGTGGAGCCACTTGTTTCTTAAATGTTCTATAAAACAAATTTCGAAAAATTCAATATTTTCCAAGATAATGAGTATACCAACTTACACAAATAACCTTGCTTAGAATTATATTATAATTTAATAAAATTTTAAATTAAAGTAATGTCGAAAAAGTCATGGTCAAGCCAACATGTCAATTAAAACATAGTTTATTTGGTTATTATTTTTTTCTTTCTTGTCTAGATCAGCTGAATTAAATAATTTTCCAAAAAAAAAAATTTATTATTTTACAAATTAATTACAGATAACAATTATTACCATAATATTTTAACACAATAATATTATCATATGTGTTACTGTTATTTAGTTCGCACCAAAGTAGTTAAAGAAGTGCCACGTGCGCAGAACTCAGGTTTAGTTGGACGAATGAAAGATATTGTCTCATCTACTGTTCAGTATGGAAATACCTTAAAAGATTCGATGCAAAGAAGAACTCTTTTACCAATCACGACAAATACATCATAATAATAATAGATGAACTGGACGTTAAATAGATACATTTTTACATTTAAAATATTGTGGTTTTTATTAAATTTAAATGTATATATTATCTTCTATATATATAAATAAAAAAAAAAACATATTGTCAATTATAAAAATTTTGATGTATGATAATTTTAAATCTTAATGGTAAAATGTATTTAAACAACGATTGTCAAAATAAGATGTGGTTTTTAAAACTTGATCGTTGCATGGTGAATAAAATTAATTTAAATAATTTATTTTGGAGTTTTTTTTTTTGGTAGGAACTTTATTTTGTAAAATTGTCAATATTTGAATAATTTGTAAAAAATAATATATAATGAGTAACGGCCAAAATATTATAAATCATTTAATTTAATTTTTTTTTTTTGTATCATACAACTAAAATTAGATGAATATAAACAAATGGTAATAAATCATAAGTAAATAAGTAAAATAAATATATACAATTCGGGGTCTATATGGATATAAATAATAATAAAATACATAAATTGGTTAATAAATATAATTAGAAATATAAATAGAATTTGGAATGGATATAACTTTATGGTAACATAGTTGTCAGAGTTTGTATGTTTGTTTTAGTTTTAGATTACACTTGACCAAAATTTTTCTACTCTGATAGCATTTGGTTTTGCAGATAGAAGGTCTTCTTTCGTACAGGAAGATGGGCAGCTTTGGTAGTTCAGCAGATGTTCCATGTTTTGTTCCACACCACACTCGTATTTTGTGGAGATTTCTTGACACCCTATTTATTTAGGTTGTTCTTAGATCTGCCTACTCCTACTCTAAGTCTATTGAGGGATCTCCAGGTTGGCCAGTCTAATTTGTGTCCTGCTGGCAGTAGTTCTGCTGGTTCGAACTCCAGTTTATTGTTTTTCTTGGAGATAGAGAGTTTCCACCTTTCTCTTTGTACCTCTTCAGAGTGTTTATTTAGAAGTTTTGTTGTTTTAAGAAAACTCTTTATGGATTTAAGTCTGAAATTAGATGTATTTTGTCTATGTAATGGGTATCGCATATCAGTTTCTGCTTTGGTCCTTTCCCAGTCTGCTGCGATCTCCCGGCAAATGTTTGGTAGGACAGTACCAGCGAGTTGGTAAATTTTAGGAAGTGGAGTATTCTTAAGACAACCTGTTATCAAACGGCAGGGTTCATTCAGAATAGTATCTATTTGTTTTGTGTGGATGGACCTACTCTACACAGAACTGGCAAATTCTCCAGCAGAGAAACAAAGTGACTGTGCAGATAAACGTAATGTATGTGCGTTGGCCCCCCATGTAGAGACTGTGAGTTTCTGGAGTATATTGTTCCTTGTAGCAATTTTTTGCTTAGTTTTCTCACAACTTTGTTCATATGTTAGGGATCGGTTTAGTATAACACCTAGGTATATGGGATGTGCAAAGTTCTTTAATATAGTTCCTCACCATTCGATTTTCAGTATTTGGTCTGCCTCTCTGTTTTTAAGGTGAAAAGCACAGACTTGTGTCTTAGTCAGGTTCGGTTTTAAGGAGTTTTCATCGTAGTAATCAGACATTACCGTAAGTGATTCCTCTAGTGTTCTTTCAACGTCATGGAAGTTGTCTTGGGCAGCTAGATCTGTATCGTCGACATATATAAAGTGCTATATTTAATTTAATTTACTAACATTATTAAATCTATAAAGGAAATCCGTAAAATACCTAACTATATTACATTAATATAATTATTAATAATAAATTAGATATTATAGTATGAAGATTGTACTAGTTTACATGTATCTACCTAAATATATTAATGTACTATATACTTTATATATGACATATATAAAATTAATTATTTAATGTCATTGATATAATGATATGTAAGATATCTATTATCTATATAAGATAATCTCTCCTATTCTATAGAATTTCTTAATTAGAAGATAGTTTTCTCCTCGATTTAGATATATCTGAATATGATTGGATAAATGACCCATTTGATAAAAATATATGTTTAACTGAATTCAGCCATGAAGAAGAAGAAAAAGAGCTCGCAGAAATATGAAAAATTCAAACTCTTATCACAATATAAAAGTGTTCCATTTAATCAATTTTGGATTCATGTTGAAAAATGCATAGGTACAATAATTGGCAAAAAAGCTCTAAAAATATAAACGCATTTTTCGACGCCATATTTATGTCAACAATGATTTTCCACTCTTGTAAACATAAAAACAAATTAATGAATGAAAATAGAGTTCATTGAAGAAGAAATGAGAGTGTGTCATTGAACTATTCGACCACGAGTAAAAGATTTGTTTAAAAATAAAACAAGTCCAAGTGTCACATTAGTAACATTATTTATTTAGTTACATAAGTTATCTAATTTTTAATTAATTTTGATAATCAAATAATATTATATAATAATAATTAAATATAAAATATATAGTTAATGGTCAATGTAATAATCTGTTTTATAAAATATAATATGTGTATTACATACCTACTGCTTTTGCTAATACTAAGGTACTAGGGTAAATAAAACCGAAGTTACATAACATAAATTTAAATAAACGATATATGTATTACTATTGCGTATTCAGTATAGAGTATAGGCCATAGGTTGTCTCCGGATTTTTAGAAAATAATTAAGGGCGCCGCGAGTCAAAAAAGATTGGGAACCTCTGAATTCTAATCCATTAGATCGCTGATGTTACCGAATGAAGCTCTGAAGATCCGTTGTTTCGTAATCGCTTTTCAGTTTGTGCCGGACTTCGTTTGCGTGTGTTTCTTCTTTGTCCGTGTTGAATATCGATTACGCGGCTGTTCTTCGTCATGTGGTGTCAGAGTTAATAATTTTTTTTTTTTTCTCTACGGTCAGTTAATAGGTATTATATTTAATAATGAAAAGTGTCGTCTTAAATATAATAGCGTGGTGTTCGTTACGACTCAAAGCAGCGGTGACGCAGTGTAAATCTATTATACAGAACGAGAGCCATTGTGACAGTGAGTACCTACCTACCTACTCTACATTTTTACATTTTTACATTTTTACATTTTAATCTAGGTACTTAAAACTGGCTATACTCCGGTAGGTAGTCCAATTAATTAAGAGTGAACAAATTTCGAAAATCAGTTTGAATTCGTGTATGACCATTCACATTCATAATGTTCATAATTGTATTAGACTTTTGACAAATTAAAAATGAGTTATAGAATTTAATAGTCGCCTAATTAAGATTTTTGATTTTTTCTTTGGAATAAAATAGTATTAGTGGAATTTCCAAATTGTAAATTTGGAAACTTAGAAATTTAATTCTAATTATGCATAATTAAGTCATAAAGTATTTAATTATTTTGTTTTGAAGAATTTTAATTGCCTGAATTAAATTTGTATTTTGATTTCAAAAAAAAAAAAAAAAAAAAAACTTAAATAGTAGTCCTTTATAAATTTAAAATTTTTTAAAAGAGAAAATGTATGCATTTATTTTAAGTCAAATAATTTTATTCACAGAGTACCCATATAACAAATAAATACCTATGTAAATAACTCGTAAAATTAAAATGTTTATAAATAGTTCAAAAAATTGACTCAAGTGTTTTTAAAAATTTTACTACGTTAAGAAAAATTAAGGTTTCTGTCTAAATTTCAAATTTCTACAAATATTTTTCACTGGATTTCAATAAAAAATAAAATTGGAAATACCTAACAAAATAGTGATGGATTAATGTTGATTACAAATAGGAATTAAAAAGCTTTATGTATTTTACTATTCCAACTTTGATCTATATTTTTACGTCAGATATGTACCTAACGAAATAATATTTTAAAAATGTATTATTATTTTGAATTTTTAGTTAAAATATTTTCAGATATTTATTTTTATTCATCCTATTCTGTCACCATATTTTGTAGGTTATCATACGACTGTTATTTTTATTCTGTTTCAGATTTTGAATGGTCCAATCTATTGTCACAGATGAGGTTAGTGGTTAATCATATTAAACAGCTACTGATTCATTCCTAAATCTCCATAGTATTATTTAAATACAATCTATATCAATATTGATCAATACATATAAAATATGAATCCTAGCTGATAAGAAAGAGCATCATTTTGTATTATTTTTAATTTTAATGAATTCTCAAACTAAATGGAATACTAATTGAATTCATAACGGCATTATAATATATTACAATTGATTTTTTTTTTTTATGGTTATAACTTATAAGTACCTAAAAGTAACCTTTTATTAAATATTTTTTTAATGAAATAATGTAAACAATTTTTACATAAATATTATTTTTACAAAAATTAATAGTAAATGGTTATGAAACTTTTTATTATAATGGAATATAATAATAGATGCAATAGCTAGTGTAGTGCTAAAGGGTCTTTAGCACTCTTAAAATATCTAATAAGCTTTTTCATAGTAAGGACTAAATATCCACGTATTTCATAATTAATGAGCAGAAAAAAATACAGATAATGCATGTGTGTATGAAAAATAATGTTAAAATAATAGTTAAAATAGTTATGATAAATTTGTTAACACAAAATTATAAATTAAATGTTTAGTTGCTCAATGTAAGAGCCATGTTGTAAAGGGTATTGTGGAGGCATAGTCTCCATGAGGTTTTGATGTGTTTATAATTTTAGCATCCCAAAAGTTGGTGGTCCAGTTGCACCTATGAGTATAACACTAGATAGAAATTAGATAATTATTAATTTTTATCTACTTGAAAACTACAAAGAAGAAATATAAGAAGACTTACGATTAGTAAGTTTTGCATTGTTTCAATATATTATCTTTATTTGTAATTACGTACTAGTTATCTATAATTATACAAATAAATACATTTTTTTTTGTAATAATATTCAGGATTTATACATTTTTTTTTAATTCTTTCTACATTTTTTTATTTAGGTGGAACAAATATAATATGATTTATTTTTAATTTAATTATGAAGGTCTTGGGGTATGTAGTATCAATTAAAATAAACAATACTAGCATTTTAACAGTTAATTTTCTATTATTTTTCTCCTTTAGCTTGTCTGTCCATTAAGATTAATTGCTGTCATTACAAGTCTTGTTCATCTCTCCCTGTCCCACATCTAAACTTATGTTTTCTTTTATATTTTCTATATTTTGCGTTACAACGTCTATCCAATGGGTCATATATTTTTCTATTGGTTGAATTTTGTTAATTTTGTTAACCAGAACTTCCACCAGAACAGATATTTTTAAATTCTTTCCTTTCAAAGTCTATTGCTGTATTCTTTGATTAATGACCAGGTTTTGCTCACATATTTACCATTGGTCTCAGATAACTATGGTAAAGGTGTAGGCACTTTCGAATTACATAGTATTACCTTTGGTTCTACCAGTTTCATAATGCTGTGGTAACACTGGTTACCGTAAGCTATTCTTTCATACATTTCTTTGTGCATGTCGTTGATGGTGTTTATATTAACGCCTAGGTACTTAGATACTTCCACTTTTCCAAACCTATAGTTATTAATTGTTATGTAGTTAATTTTCCATTAGGTAAATTTATTCTTAAAAGAATTGAGTTAATTACATAATTAAATTGACTTAATATTTGAAATGAAAAATTTTTTTTTTGTATCAAGAAAAAGCTGATTTAAATACACAATGTTGGAGAAACAAATAAAATTAATCTGTACATTGGGATATTAATTTTAAATCAAGTCTAACATAATTGTAATAGAATTTTGGGTGTAAACTTCTAAGGGAATTGATTCACCATATTGAGTTTGAAAGCTCTTTTATATTTGTATAATATTATAAGTCTAAGTTGATAATGGATATTTTCTAAATTTTTTTAAGTATATTTACAGTAATAAGATAGCTATGATTTTTAAATGGTAAAATGTGTTTATATTATTTATAAGGTATGAACCATGTATATTTGATATTTAAATATTAATGTGGTTTATTTGTTCCGAATTAATATTATTAATATTTTTAGATAGAATCTAATTTATTGGTTTTAAGGAGATTAAAATTAATACCACTGAGGGACTGATTATTGTGTGCGTTGGTAGTGGATGGCCTAAACAATTACCTTTGATTGAGGAATATTTTGGATTTGCGAACACACAAGTAACTTCTTGAACTGATAGATTTATTAATTTAAAACATATATTACTATTACTATTGAGTCAATGTAATAGGGCTAATTAAACAGGATGATAAGGATCAACTATGTGTCTTGACTGAACAAGAAGACAATGAAGCCACATTTCTCCATTACGCTGTGTTAGAGCAATATTGCAGTCATTGGTTGATTATTTAGCTGGTTAGTTTTGGTAATAGGATATTTTAGATACTTACAGATTTCCCTGACTAAGATATTATCTTAAAAGACAGTGTTCATTATAGCCATTATTACAATTCAATAGGATGCCATTATAACTTGATAGGCTTTTGCTAAGTTTACAACTCAGTACTTACACAAATACTAGGTACTTGGGTTATTATAAGATAATATTATTTGTAATTATTTTAGATGGCATTGGTCATTGGTCGAAAAGTTATATTATGGTACTGTATTTTAATATGGAAGGGGATTTGAATACAATTATAGTTATAGTTCAGCTATAGTTTGTGCCTATGTACAAAATCACTAAATATATTTTCAGGTAGAATTCGGTACAATACTTGATACTTACTTCTTTAAACAGTGCATTTGTTATTAAAAATAATAATAAAGAATAATATTAAGTAAACCTAATGATTTTTTATTGAATATTGTCTCAATAAAAATATAATTACTGGAAATTCATAAAACATAAATTAATTACAAAAAAAAAAGGGTCAAAAGAGGAATATAATACCCTTTCCCCCCCCCTAATTCCACCTCCGTAACCATGAACCCGGTATCATCAGTACCTAAACAATATAGATGAGAATTTTATATAGTTGAACATCGATTTAGAGGCAAATCTAGAAACAATAGAAGGCATAAGTAAAACAAAAAAAACTTAAATTTAACACACTAAGTATCTATGCCTTACTAGGAGCTACCTAAACAATCTAAAGAAGTATTTAATTTAAAAAAAAAACTTGTAAATGTGTTTCAGAGTTTTAACTACTGTAAACTGGCCAGTTATGGAAATTTGATCAAATTGTGTTCCGTTTTTTTCTTCAAATAGTAAACACATTTAAATTTTTTTTTTTTCAGATCTATTTTTTGACATTTCAATAGTATTAAAATGCTGCTGTATTTATTCAAATTTGTTTATGATTATATGATGATATAATTTCAACTTAATATGAAGTTAAT